AAAAATCCCATGGAGTGCTTTTCGAAAAACACTATTCAAACTTCACATGATTATTCTCCATTTTTTAATTAATTAGTTGGGAAAATCCTTCAGTTCTCTATTTTGTCTCTGCTGATTTCGTGAGAAAGTATGAATTATGAAGTTGTGTATCTATTAATTTGGAATGCACATAAACAGAACTGACATTTGGTGTTTTTTATATCTTGCAGTTGGTCCTCAATAAGGTTCTTATGCTAGGCTCACAGACACAGACAATTATTGGTCGGCCAATTTTGCCAGATGCAGCTGTTCATGCAGTCGTCGAGGAGCATGTAAGACAATTTTTAGATTTCGTTTTATCTGCTTGCAGCTTGAATGATCAGATTTAAATTTTCTTACATATTTAACCAATTAACTGAGTTGAACACTTCATCAACTCATCAGTTATGTAAATAAGATCCCCATGGCCTCTCTTGTTAGTTGTTGTATTTTAGTACAGTTATGATTATTAACAAACATCAGAATTAAAGCTTGCGGAGGGTAAAATCTGACATTTGTTAAATGAAGGATAATGTTGCTCCATCGTCTGCGAAGCTATATGTTCGTTTTCTGGTAGATTGTATTGGATTAGATATTTTTTTTGGCTCATCTGTTAGAAGTTTCTAATCATTTCTCATATCTGCTCTTTTATTTGCAGGCATTAGATGCTAAAGTGATCATATTCAAGAAAAAAAGAAGAAAGAACTACAGAAGAACTAGAGGTCATCGGCAGGTAATCGAGAAACGTGATTAATATCAAATCGAATTTTCCCTTCTGATTTTGGTGGCGCTGTTAATTTTCTTGTTCATCAATTTTACTCTGGAAGGTTCGCCATATTTCTCTGTCGTAACAAAAGTTCCTCCACTGTCCATTTTAGGAATTAACCAAGTTAAGGATAACGGATGTACAAGGGATTGAGAAACCACAACAGTTTGCTTTCTCAAAGAAAGAGAAGAAAGAAAAGCAAGAAAAGGTTGCTGTTGGAGCTTAATTAACTAAGGTTTATCAGGAGACTGGATTTTCTTTTGCTTTGGGCAGTTGTGTCCTTTGGCATAATTGATTTTAGAAGTTTTGTCCTTTTTGTTCCAGCTGGTTTCTCTCCAGTTTGTCCAAGAACTGAAGTTACAGCAATTAGTATTTAATTTTTCATGTAGCTGCTGTTTGAGACTCTTTTTGACTAATGTATTCCTCTTCAGTCATTGTAAGTATTAGCCTGTTCCCAAAAAAATTTAAGACAACTCATGGTTGGAAAAATTTCTACTGTAACAGATGTTATTGTGTGTGAGTAAATTATATATTCTGCTTAATTTTGTTGCCTTGGAACAGTGACTACTCAGAAAAAATTAAATGAGGTGTTTTCCAACACCTGTCTTCAAATTAGTAATCCGAAATTAGATGTTTGCTTATCAGCTGGTTGTGGATTGTATCGATTATATTAGCTGGTAGATTGTGATTATATTTGGTAAATTTAGCTGATAAGTTAGTTGATAATTTGTAAGTAAATTTTGAGCTTATAGTTAATAGTTTATGATTGAAAAAACCAGTTTATATTATAAAAGTATTTGACAAAAGCAGCTGATAAACCAGATGAAATAAAAATTTCAACGAGCTTATTCAAAAAACTACTAAAGCCAGATGAAATAAAAATATTAAGGTACAAGTTATAAGCTAGCATATAATGATTACCAAACACACCATGTATCAATTGGTTTGACCATTGAAATGTATTAGCTATTTGTAAAATTATGTTTTGTAAAATCAATTGACTGTATTAGAGTGTGATTGTATATGAATTTAATTAGAAAAAAACTATTTTTAACTCAATAACTATTTGTAACTCAAACTCAGCTTTAACTCAACAATATTATCCTTATATTATCAAAATAATTAAATAATACTAATATATCATTCTTACACATCACATCAATTTTAATTCACTATTCATCAACTCACATCATTTTAACTAATATCACATCATTTCTCTTACTTTTACATCAAATCAACTTTAATTATTATTTTAAAATAAACTTAAAATACCACTATCAACTAACGTACCACATTATTCAAATTAACTATAATTAACAAAAAAATCAGTCACATAAGAAAATCTCACCTTAATATCTCACCCTAATCTGTGTCACAGAAGAAAATCTCCCTTTCCGTTCGGATGTCATGGAACTATGGGAAGTACAGTATACTGTAGTAATTCTAAAACCTATTTTGTCATCACAAGTTACCTAAATTACTGTAATTTAAATTCCACATTATGATAGGCTCTGCAAATCCAAAAATTCATATTCCAAACCGCCGCATCCATGGAGATCCTCTCATCTCCACCTCCACAAAACCTGAACTCGACCGCAAACACTACTCAATCCCATTAGCCAGATGCGGCCCGCGATTCGCCGAGTTCTCGTCCACGGTGGTTATTCTCCTCCTATTCCTCGCCGGCGCTGGCGCCGTGGGAATCTCGTACTCCGATCATTGCGGCGACGTGGTGCCAGACACGCCTTTGCTTCCGGACTCTAATTCTCCACTCGTCGGCCGCGAATTTTTCTCCCTTCACCGCGCCTATGTTTGCTGCGGCGTCAACATTACGGACAAGGATGTTTGTGCGGTCCCCGGGTCCCTCTCCTTCATCACTGAGAAAGCCTATAGAACCGAGAATGATACCATCCTCAAAATCGACGCTGGGCTACGTGTGCGGGCTCCTTCTCATTCGTTGACGTCGGGCGGCCTGCCGTTGATGAGCGGCTTTTGGGATTGGAGCTCTGGGAAGCTCTGCATGATCGATCCGGTAACCGAGATTCTAATCATGTTGTTTTGAAGCTTGATTATTTGAATACTTCTAGTATATTCACCAGTCTGGTTAATGGGACGCTGGAGATTTTAGATGCTAGTTCCGAAAGTGTTTCTGAACCCAGCTCGATATCGGTACTTGGTGTGAACACGAGGAATTATAACTATGAGTTGATTCATAAAGAAATCGAAACTAATGGTTTCTCGTTGTTGAATGATACTTCGAGTGTCTCTTTAGGAGGGGAGGATCTGGGGCAGAATCCATGCTTTTTCGTCTCGTCTGCAGGAAAGTTCGAATTGGAGTATGAGAATGCCTGCAGTGGCGTGAACTGCAATTTCCTTGGGAGAGAAAATAACAGTTTCATGCCAAGCGTGATGTAATCTGAATGAAATCGAGTGTTTGAATGATGGTCGAGTGAGGTTCTTGTTGAAGTTTGGAGATTCCGGTGTTAGCAGTTATTTTTTTCCACTGGAACCAAATGTGACCTTGGTTAGTGAAGGGAAATGGGACCTGAAACAAAAGAGGCTTAACATGGTTGGCTGCCGAATTTTTAGTGATTGGGATGAGGGTTTTGTTGGGGAGTGTTTGATCAGACTAAGTTTGAGATTTCCAGCTCGGTGGACATTGAGAGAAAGGAGCACTGTAGTTGGGGAACTTTGGAGCAGTAGAAGTGTTAATGAGACGGGCTATTTTGAACGGGTGACGCTGATGAGCTTACGTAATTCGAAAGTAAAAGCGCTTGGTATGAGGTACGAGTACACGGAGATTGAGAATTCCAAGAGATCCTGTGCAAACAAGAAAACTCAGAAAACAGGGAAAAAAATTTACCCTAGAACGACATCTTCTAATATGCGATTTGACATGATTGTCAGGAGTAAGAAAGTGCCCGATCTTTTTGGTTACTCATCCCCCGTTTACATGGGCAGTCAGGGCTATATTTTTCGCAGCATGTACAGAATGGAACAGCAAAACCTTGGTCATAGGGTTAACATAAGCTATATTCTAACCTTCGGGGCCGACCATGATTTCAAGATCAGTGATGAGCACAAACAAATCAGATCGATTGAAATCTCGGCAGAAGGAATTTATGACCCTGAAAATGGGCACCTTTGCATGATCGGGTGTATGAGCGTTGTGCCACCTAAAGTGAGAGTAAGGGGGAACTCTTCCCTGGATTGTGAAATTCTGATTGACATGTGGTATCCCCCAGAGAATGGAAACAATGGACAAGGTGTGAAAGGAAATATTAAAAGCACACGAGATAAATCCGACCGTCTTTACTTCGAACCTCTTGAAGTTTTTTCGCTGGCTCCATATGGAGAATGGATACAGAGATCAACATGGTCCTAGTTTCCAACACGCTTTTGTGCATTTTTGAGGGTCTGCAGATAGTGCATGTCAAAAGGCATGCAAATGTGCTGCCCTTTGTTTCAGTCGTCATGCTTGTTGTTCTCAGTCTAGGACTTCTGTTATTGAATTTTGAAGCTGTCTTCACGAGGGGCCGCAAAAGTTTCGATTTTTACTTTGGTGGGGACGAGTGGGTTGAAGTTACTGAGGTACTAGTGAGGGTAATTACCATGGTAGCCTTCTTACTGGAATGTCGTCTTCTCCAAATGACCTGGTCTGCAAGGTCAGCCGACGGAAGCCAGAAAAATCCATGGACACATGAAAAGAAAGTTTTATATCTTTTGGCACCTTTATATATTGGTGGAGGATTGATTGCGTGGCTTGTTCACCAGTCAAGAAAGCCGAGCATAACGCCACTGTATGTACTTCTGCATTATAGGGTGAAAGAGCCACAATCCTTATGGGACGACTTGAAATCGTATGGTGGGTTTGTAATGGATGGCTTTTTGCTGCCTCAGTTTGTGTTCCACATATTTTTTGACACAAAGGAGAAGGCTCTTATCCCTTCCTTTTATGTTGGGACCAGTCTTGTTCGTTTGCTTCCACATGTGTATGACCTTTACAGGTCTCATCTTCATACTTGGCCGTTCGGTTACATTTACCCAAACTCTGGACTGGACTACTATTCGACTGCGTGGGATATTATCAGATCTGTTGGGGCTTCTCTATTGGTTGTTCTGATTTACTTGCAGCAAAGGTATGGAGGGAAATGCATTTTAGCAAGGAGATTCTGGCGGAGTTTGGCTTATGAGAAAGTGCCTGTTGCTGGCCTTGAATGATCTTGAATATTTTTTTTTATTTTTTTTTTTCTTTTGATGTGCAAATGGTCTTTTAACCAGATTTGATGTCTTCATGGGAGGAAAACACTAGTTATAATACAGCTGAGTTCGAGTTTTAATTTCATTTTATTTTATCTCTTTTATCTCTTGTAGGCGGTTGAATCCTTTTGCGACTTTCGCCGAACACCTTATAAGCATCTTTATTAGAAGTTTGCTTATTTGGGCTCTGATCTCTGGCAGCCCCATCCAATCTAGAAGCAGCTGATCTGTAATCTCTAAAGACCGTCTTCTTCTTTGCTTGACCATTTCATTGCGATTTTCTACATAAATAATGTAGATTTTACTAAAGTAGCTCTAATTGTTCAAGAAAGTGAAGTCGTACCCAGAAAATGGAAAATCGTTCATAAATGAAAATGAAATAGTGGAAGCTTCCTCGTCGGTCAATTAGAATTTAGCTAGAGAAATACTTAATCGAAGGTGAATGAGCTCGATTTTGCAAGGCAACAAGGAGGACGAATTTTTGTCCAAGTGAGAGCACGTCCCTCTACCTTTGACTTCGTGCGTTTGAAATGTTGGTTTCTAACTCAAATTACTTCTTGGATATGAATTTGATTGGAAAAAAATAATTATTTTTAACTTAAATTATTTTTTGGAACTCAAATTCAATTTTAACTATATTATCAATATAATTAAATAATATTAATTTATTATTTTTATACATTATATCAACTTTAATTTTTTATTCATAAATTCATATAATTTTTACTAATCCTCATATTTCACATTATCTCTCTTTTACTTTTATATGTAATCAAGCAACCTAATCTGTGTCACGAATAAAATCTCACCTGTCAGTTCTGATGTCATGGAGCATCACAATTCACCTAAATTACTCTAATTTACATTCCACATTAGGATAGGCTCTGCAAATCCAAAAATTCAGATTCAAAACCGCCCCATCCATGGAGATCCTCTCATCTCCACCTCCACAAACCCTAAAATCGACCGCAAAATCACACTACTCAATCCCATTACCCAGATGCAGCCCGCGATTCGCCACGTTCTCGTCCACGGTGGTTGTTCTCCTCATATTCCTCGCCGGCGCTGGCGCCGTGGGAATCTCGTACTCCGATCATTGCGGCGACGTGGTGCCAGACACGCCTTTGCTTCCGGAATCTAATCCTCCACTCGTCGGCCGCGGCTTTCTCTCCCTTCAACGCGCCTACGTTGGCTGCGGCGTCAACATTACGGACAAGGATGTTTGTGCGGTCCCCAGGTTCCTCTCCTTCTTCACTGAGAAAGCTTATAGAACCGAGAAGGATACCATCTTCAAAATCGACGCGGTGCTGAGCTTGAGACGCGTGCGGGGTCCTCATTTCTCGCGCCGGGGACTGCGCCTAGTGCATGTCCGGCCGCCTAAGATTCCGTTGACGTCGGGACTGACGGGGCTCGAACCCGCAGCTTCCGCCTTGACAGGGTACATGAGCGGCTTTTGGGATTGGAGCTCCGGGAAGCTCTGCATGATCGGGTCCGGTAACCTAGATTCTAATCGTGTTGTTTTGAAGCTTGATTATTTGAATTCTTCTAGTATATTCACCAGTCTGGTTAATGGGACGCTGGAGATTTTAGATGCTAGTTCCGAAAGTGTTTCTGAACCAAGATGTATATCGATACTTGGTGTGAACACGAGGAATTATAAGTATGAGTTGATTGATAAGGAAATCAAAACTAATGGTTTCTCATCGTTGAATGATACTTCGAGTGTCTCTTTAGGAGTGGAGGATCTGGGGCAGAAGCTGTGCACTTACGCAAGATCTGCACGAAAGTTCGAATTGGAGTATGAGAATGCCTGCATTGGCATGAACTGCAATTTCCTTGGGAGAGGAAATAACAGTTTCATGCCAAGCGTGATGTACCTGAAAGTAATCGAGTGTTTGGATGATGGTCGAGTGAGGTTCTTGTTGAAGTTTGCATATTCCGATGTTAGTGGATATCATGTGCTACTGGAACCAAATGCGACCTTGGTTAGTGAAGGGAAATGGGACCCGAAACAAAAGAGGTTTAACATGGTTGGCTGCCGAATTTTTAGTGATTGGGATGAGGGTTTTGTTGGGGAGTGTTTGATCAGACTAAGTTTGAGATTTCCAGCTCGGTGGACATTGAGAGAAAGGAGCACTGTAGTTGGGGAACTTTGGAGCAGTAGAAGTGTTAATGAGACGGGCTATTTTGAACGGGTGACGCTGAGGAGCTTAAGTAATTCAAATGTAAAAGCACCTGGTTTGAGGTACGAGTATACAGAGATTGAGAATACCAAGAGATCCTGTGCAAACAAGACAACTCAGAAAACAGGGAAAAAAAATTACCCTAATGCAACATCTTCTAATATGCGTTTTGACGTGATTGTCAGGAGTAAGAAAGTACCTGATCTTTTTGGTTACTCATCCCCTGTTTACGTGGGCAGTCAGCTTTATATGTTTCCCGGTGTGTACAGAATGGAACAGCAAAACCCTGGTCATAGGGTTAACATAAGCTATATTCTAACCTTCAAGGCGGAGCAAGATTTCAAGATCAGCAATGAGCATAAACAAATCAGATCGATTGAAATCTCGGCAGAAGGAAGTTATGACCCTGAAAATGGGCACCTTTGCATGATCGGGTGTATGAGCGTTGTGCCACATAAAGTGAGAGTAAGAGGGAACTCTTCCCTGGATTGTGAAATTCTGATTGACGTGTGGTATCCCCCAGAGAATGGAAACAGTGGACAAGGTGTGAAAGGAAATATTAAAAGCACACGAGATAAATCCGACCTTTTTTACTTCGAACCTCTTGATGTTTTTTCGCTTTCGGCACCCAAAGACTCCATATGGACGATGGATATGGAGATGACCATGGTCCTAGTTTCCAACACGCTTTTGTGCATTTTTGTGGGTCTGCAGATAGTGCATGTCAAAAGGCATGCAAATGTGCTGCCCTTTGTTTCAGTCGTCATGCTTGTTGTTCTCACTCTAGGACATCTTGTCCCTCTGTTATTGAATTTTGAAGCTGTCTTCACTAGGGGCCGCAAAAGTTTCGATGTTTACTTAGGTGAGGACGAGTGGGTTGGAGTTAACGAGGTACTAGTGAGGGTAATTACCATGGTAGTCTTCTTACTGGAATGTCGTCTTCTCCAAATGACCTGGTCTGCAAGGTCAGCCGACGAAAGCCAGAAAAATCCGTGGACACATGAAAAGAAAGTTTTATATCTTTTGGCACCTTTATATATTGGTGGAGGATTGATTGCGTGGCTTGCCCACCAGTCAAGAAAGCCGAGCATAAGTCCACCATTTGTAGGTCTGCATCATAGGGTGAAGCAGCCACAATCCTTATGGGGCGACTTGAAATCGTATGGTGGGTTGGTATTGGATGGCTTTTTGCTGCCTCAGGTTGTGTTCAACATATTTTTTGACACAAAAGAGAAGGCTCTTGTCCCTTCATTTTATGTCGGGACCAGTCTTGTTCGTTTGCTTCCACATGTGTATGACCTTTACAGGTCTCATACTCGTACTTGGTCATTTGGTTACATTTACGCAAACCCTAGACTGGACTACTATTCGACTGCATGGGATATTATCATATCTTTTGGGGCTTCTCTATTTGTTGTTCTGATTTACTTGCAGCAAAGGTATGGAGGGAGATGCATTTTAGCAAGGAGATTCTGGCGGAGTTCGGCTTATGAGAAAGTGCCTGTTGCCGGCCCTGAATGATCTTGAATATTTTCTTTTTTTCTTTTGATGTGCAGACAGTCTTAACCAGATTTGATGTCTTCATGTGAGGAAAACACTAGTTATAATACTGCTGAGAGTTTAAGTTTTAGTTTCATTTTATTTTCTCTCTTTTATCCTGCCATATGGGTATCTCCTGCATCTTGATGCTAATAATATTGCTTGGTGTGCTCTGTTTTGATCGAGAGAGCTGCCTTTTCTTGTTTCATTTCCAGTTTCTGGTTTTGAAGTTCAAAAATGGAATATTGAGTACAAAAATTCTTGAAGACTTTAGTGCCAAAATCGGATGCATACAGGCGTAGGGTGAAAATTTGATTCCATTTTTCGTGACAATGTTGTATTTTTTCAAGAGCAAGATATAGAGGTTTGTATTTGCGGCTATTGTCTTGATGATTACTATCGTACATTTTATTTCTTTATATTAGAATTTTGTCGGGATTAATGCCGGAAAATTATCTCTAATTCTAATTTGACCCTTCATCAACATTGTCATCGCCATCACCACTGTAAGCCAACACTGCCATTGCAAGCAAAACAATGGATTTGACGATTGATGTTTTGTTAGGTTTAATATTACATTCTTTTCTAAAGTATAATCAGCTTGCGTTGTGAACTTACTAGTCAATAATTTCGATGCAAAATTCAAAAATAAAATCATGAAATGTTGTGTAAAAAGACTGCTTTAGAATTTGGTATAATAATAGTAATAATATATTTTATTAATTCTTTATTTATTGCATATTTATTTATATGTAATTCCACTGTTAATATATAAACTCTTTTATTTATTTATTTAATTCTTGTGGACAACAAAAGAAAACAACGGGTTACATGATAAAAGCAAGCACTTATTCGCGGATGCCAGGAAAGAATCTCAAATTACTTATATACACAACTCAAAATTTGCGTACACTAATGCTAGCTAAACATTTACTCTGGGCTCTCTCATTCACTCACTTCTCATATGCATCTTTTCAAATCCACGTCTTGAATTTAATCCAAATAGCTCTCCCCTGATAACCTGCAAATTCATTCATCCCCATGATTTCATTTCATACAACAGAACCAAAGAAAATTCATTTTGCAGAACAGAAATTCAAAAGACCAGACTAAGTTCATCGCTCGAATTACCTCAAGAGTCGTAAGTATCCATCGCCTTCTTTCCTGTCAAAATACGCGAAATCTGAAGCCCCCGGCTAAAAGCCTCATTGAAGAGTATCCTCGTCTGCATTTGCTGAAAACCGGGCATCCACGACAGAAAAGCCAATGGGACCATCACAATCAGCCCAAAAATCATATCATACATTCGAGCCAAGGACACAACAGTTTCCCAAACCACGCTCGACTGCAGAAAAGGCCTCAGCACTTGAGCTATAAGTATAATCCCCCACCCAGTCGGCACAAACGCCAGCAAACTCTTGATGAAATCGAGAGCACTAACGCTCGTGAAGTGCAGAAGCAAAACTACAACGAGCACCGTCACCAAAATCACGAGAAACTGAACCAATCTATAGTAAATATGCTCTGTGGCCGCATACTTATCCCGAGCATACGCCATTACTATATATATCCCCACAACCGCAATCAAATAAATCCAAGACAACAAGTAAACAGCTATGCTCCTGTTATTACCCGCAATATTCAAATGGTACACGATCCCATATTGGAAAAAGAAGAATCGAAGGTCCAGAATGATCTCGAGCAATTTTCCCCACAGACCCGTCGTTCGGAAATGGTCCTGCTCCTCGTACCACCAAGTCTCCCAGCTTTGGTCCGCTTTGACCAAAATACCCCTGTACCATATCCAGTTTATGAAATCGTCAAAGTCGTACACGGTTTTCAGCCAGTCGAAGCCCGAAGGGTTGAAGATGAACGGCGCCATTATCCATGAGACCACCAAAAACCAACTTGAAACCGTCATCACTATATAAACGAAAGTGTTCACAACTAAAGGGCTCGTCGAGGCATAAACTATCAAAATGACTCCAAGCTCGATTCCTTTAATAAAATGGCTCCGAGCATACAGCCTGTAATTCTCGGCGAAGCTCTTGTGCTGCACAACAAACCCACGGCCCGTGGCCCGATACTTGGCCCCACCATGCAAAATGGTCCTCCCGAAATAATGCGCGCGCGTGCCCATCGAGAAAGTGTAGAAAAACGAGGCAAGCTGCAGCTGCATTGTGATGAAGTCCCATACAGCAGGGAGAAAGCCTCTCTCGAGCGAATTCTCGACAATCATCGGGAGGGCAGTGAAGATGCCGATTTGGATCACAAACTGCTGGTTCACAACCGCGCCAAGGGCCGCATTGTTATTGGCATTTCTCGCGTGGCGCTCGACACCACTGAGGGAAAGGTACAAGCGGCCCCACAGGAAAGCGTACACCATAACCACAACCACCATTGTGTTGAAATAATAACCGACCGTCGTGTAAAAAACGGACAGCATCCGGAAGAAATCGAGCCTGTGGCCGAGACGGTAAACGTCTCGACTCAAGACCTGTTCTCCATTGCCACTTGCGACTTTAGCCTCGAACATCGAGATCTGATTTAATCCCACATCCCTACCTTTCCCCACCTGTATGTATTCATGGTGAGTCACACTGCCGCCTCTCAACGTGCAGTTGAACCCAGCGTAAATATCCTCGCTTATGTTTATCACTCGGGAAGCCTTGCTTATGCCACCTCGAGTCAAGAACCAGAACCGGTCAAACACATCCGGGTGCCCGTAATGCATGCGGACTTTCAACGGGTTCGCCAAAACCCGCTGCCCTAACGTGACGAAACTCATCTCTTGGGCCGACATGAAACGGGCGAGTGACGAGACTGAGCCGGTGAATATGTTCTCGCGGACTCCCAAGATTGTGGGCTTCCGAATGCCGTGATTCGCCTTGAACTCTTCCAGAAGGTTCCGAATCTTGATTGCCTCCTCGAAATAGCTGTCTTGGTTCATATCGATTGCCTGCAAAGCATCCCCGCGCGTGAATATAATCGCGTGGTTCTGATTTTCGGGCTTTCCTTCCCCGAGCTTCAACGGGCCCGGCAGCTTGATCCGGTAAATCTCGACTTCCTTCCTCTGTTGCTGATCGTACTTCACTAATACCGAGTAGTACTCCACTTCGTCTCTTCCCAAACGGACCTCGTCCACGTACGCGACTCGGAGGGCCTCGTTATTTTTCATCAGATACAGAATCTCCTCTGCACGTGGGTCCCCTTTCCCTTTATGGACTCCGTACATCTGGCAGGCCACCACATAGACGAATTTCATAAGGGCGACTCCAAACTCATGCCCTTTGAAAAGGATGCTGACACTACTTCCGGCTCGGCTAAGATTACGAGAGATATGAACATTTACGCCACTGCTCCCTCTCATTGACCCGAGAGAAGGAATAATATCCTGCGACCCTTGCCTTATGTCCATTTCCGAGGCCGAATCAAGAAAAGATAGCATCTTGAGAGCTCTGTAATAATACATCATCCCTCTAACCGTACGGGACAGTGTTTGGCCCCTATAAGAAGCCCAGAGCCTGAGATCCCTCGTTTTACTCGTCCAAATCTCCCCATCGTCCCTCATTCCTTCCCTACGCATGCGCTCCATGAAATTCGCCCACTCGTCCTCGTAAATTTTCTGAAGGTAGAACAAAGTCGAGACCCCGTCCTCGTTCGGACTCCTCAGCATCTCCTTTCCAAACAAAACCTCCTCATCATAGTAAGGAGTCAGTACACTGAAGGCCATCATCTTCTCGACCTGGGGAGCCCGCGGCATGTTCATAAACACAGAGTTGCTGAAGAATGCAATTCGCCTCCTGGCCTCGATATTTTTCGGAACGTTGTGCATCGAGTCCCGAGAATTAAGTATAGTGTACAAACGACGAAGCTGCCTGTTGAAGAAGGCATCGTCTGAATCCGGCATCTCAATTACATTCTCGAAAAGCAGCCCGGCACTGGAATTCGGGCTCAGGACTGCCAGCCCTTCCTGCCTCAACTGAGCCACCGACTTTTTCACCCTCGGGAGTTCACGGACAGCAAGCTCGTATAATGCCTGTAATATATCCACGACTTTATTTACATTCTTCTCTGGCAGTAGAAGGAGCTCGACGAGAGATACCAGCCTCTCGTGAATCCTCGGCAAGACTGCAGTCCTATACGCCCCCGTGAACTTTTCGACTTTTATATACCCGTCGACCTCCGTGAAGAATTTCGTCACTATCGAGTGCTCGTCCGTGCCGTATTTCACGATCTCGAGCAGCAAATACTTCAGGCTGTCATAAACCTCGGTGACCGCGCAACGTCTATACTCGTTTTTGCATATCCGAGACCAAACCCATCTGTCAGGCTCGTCCGCAAGCTCCCGAGCCTGGCTCAGGGCAAGCTGAAGCTCGTTGCACAGTAAGGCGCAAGGCCATCGAATGACTTTAATGTCCCAACAATTGGGAGGGAGCTCGAGAAGCTCAAGCTCCTGATCGCTAATTAAGTCCTCCTCCCTTAGAGTAATCACAATCTCGTTCCATATCAAGGCAAACCTCGTGGCTTCGACCTGGCTCGACTCCATCTTCTTGTACGGCTGGCCCAGCCCATACCTAAGCTTGATGCGGTGCATTGCGTTTCGAAGTTTATGCACGATTGTGGCCACCGGGATCAAGGCCTGGTCCTCAGGCATTAGATTGAACTGAAGTGCACTCGCAAAAAACTGAAACCTCAACCTCAGCTGCTTGATGTTCCGAATCTCACCAATGTGGGAGAACAGACCTATCAAGGACCCGACTAGCGAGGAGAACGTGGTGTACCATATCTGAAGGTCCATGAGATAGATTAGAATTACCGGGGCCCACAGCATCACTACTGCCACTCTGTTGGTGCTGGTGAAGAACTCATGCCACTGGTATTGCACTGACATGTTTAAGAGGGTTCGAGTTGGGGCAACGAGCGGCCGGATCTGAAGAACATAGCTGAAAGTGAATTTCGAGGCAAGGACCAAAATCCAAAATCCGCCGTACCTCAAATTGTCGATGAGGCCCTCGCGGACCCCACGACCAACGAATGTCCGAGTATGGAACCACCATGTGGCAATATATAGGATCGGCCAATCGGCCTCCTCGATCACGTTGCGTATCCATGGGAGGACGAAGAGTAACAAAGCGAGTAATTCGGGCATGACGAAAACTAAAGCGGCCTGGAGAAATACGAGAATTCTTTGGTTGGCTTCGTACGACCACTGCCTGTCTAAATTCCTTTGACTCCAAATCCTCCCGTAAAAAACGCCAAACACGATGCCCCAAGTAAGGGCAACGACGCTTTTCAAGACCATTCTTATACCGAGCAGCTTTGTGTCCCTCGTGACCAAACTGTACTGGGTACCGGCATCGAGGATCGACTGCACGAACCTCAAACCGGACCACGTGATGAAAATTGTGAGCAGCTCGACTTGCACGTCCCTGCTTTCCAGTGCCTGCCATGGGTAATCTCTCCCAGCCCAAGCAACAATGGAAGCTGCCTGAAAATAGAGTATCAACAGCACCCACAGCCTATCGAAGCTCCGGAAGATGTTCCAGAATGTTCTCTGCTCGACAAATCCGGTTTTCCCCACCCGTTTTTCACTATCTGCTGAAAAGAAACTACTGGACAGGTTCAAAGGCCATTTTATTTTCCTAAAGCATTTCCTACTCCAAAAATACTCATTAATATCGTCATAATTCCTCCAGGCCGAATGTGGGGCCGTTCCATTTCTACTCCGGGTGACCTCACCTTTAATCGTGACATAAATAGGCGTAACAACATTATCCAAGAAACCAAACTGTTTACAGGTAGAGGGTACAAAAAACTGGCCTGTGTTTTCATCAATGTGGTCATCGAGAATGTAATTGAGCTCCAAGGCCATGTGGTGATATATGTAGCACAAACACTCTGGGGTAAAGCGCAGGTTAGCGGCCTCACCCCATATGAGAAGATAAAGGCATACATACAGAAGCTCACGCCGCTCGAGATCGGGGTTGTGGCGGTTGGGCAGGCGGACCTGGGACCTCTTCCCCAGGTAGGAGCACCAGGAGGTGTAATTTTTGAGAAGCTTGAGGCGGAAGCGGCGGAGGACGCCGGTGTCGAGGCGGTCGGCGGCGGGGGGCGGCGGCTGGAGTCGCATCTGGGAGTTGGAGAGGTGGAGGACGAGGTGCTCCCGCTGGTTCCGGACGTTGTCGTCTTGGAAGCCGAAGAAGAGGCCGAGCCAGTCGAGGAGGTCCATGGAGTCGCGCCACGGGTTGAACGGCGGCTTGCGGAGGTCGCCGGCGGAGCGGAGGGCGGCGGCGGCGGCGCGCACCTCGGGGTAGCGGAGGGAAGGGTGGTCGGCGAGTAGGTCGTGGACGGGGATGATGTTGAAGGGCTCGGATAGCAGCGGGTGTGGAGCGGCTCCCGGCGGCGCGTGGGGTGCACGGCCGCGGGCCGGGGTCGGGCGTTGCCGCAGATTCATGGCATAAGTCGGAATTTCCCGCCGGATTCTTCGAGGGTTGCCAAAATCTGCGAAATTTTAGAGGTTACTTGTGGAGCAGACGCAATTATCAGTGTCAATTCGTGCAAATGTGGACATATAAAAAAAGAAATCTGTGAGTTTATCTTGATGTTTCTATGAACAAGTAGAGTGTGTGGGTTTGGGTATGAATGAAGATGAAACGTTTTTGGGGAGTGAGGAATAATTACCTTTATTAGACCTTCGACCTTTGTGGTTGACTGGTTTTACTTGGCCATCGTGGGATGTGTGCGCAATGGAGGTTACAGTTGCGTTAAAGAAAGAGAGACTGTGTGTTTTTCTCACGCGCCGTGGGAGAGAGAGTGGGGGCAGAAAGGGATCTTTTGTAGTGGAAAAGTAGAGTCGCTTTCCATAGGTCCATAGGTTGGCAAAATGAGTCGTCAAATGAAAAATGCCATTTATTGTATATATATAATGGCATGTAATATTTCCAGTCATCATTTATGTGTGTTGAATTCATCGAGCTTAGTACTCTTAAACTAAACGAGTATTGTTTGGCTTGAGATCGAAATTTTAACGAGCCCAATTCAAAATTATTTAAAGTTCATTTATTTAATGAGTTTGTATAGAAAGCTCATATGGAAACTTAAGATCATCTGTTTTTTCATTGCAGAAGGACAAAGCGCATATGGAAACTCTCACTTGTCACTTGGACTGATATACAGCAGGATTCAATGAGCTTTAAGCCGTGGTGGCCAAAAATATGCTCTCTTGATAATTCACCAACATCTGAGGCAAGGCTGCAGTTGTCTTCCTACATCCTCTGGTGGATGTGAAAGACTAAAAACCTTTGGGTCTTTACTAATACCTGGAGAAATGAATATGACATCATCTGCCTGACCATCAAAGATTGGCAAGATTACCTGCATGTCAATAACCCAGGGTTTTAGTCTGATTTTCTTTTTCTGTTTTAGTTGTTTTATGCTTTGTGCAGTGTTTTGATGATTATCTGTGCACTGTTTTGATGATTATCTAGGTCCAGTTAGGACAGTGGTTAATCTTTTTTGCTAGCCTTTGACCTGTTGGGTCTGTGGTGATAGGAGTAGGTTACAACCCCCAGTTCCTAGGAATATATAGTAGGGTATGTTGTGCTTGCTTCTCTGTGGGTTCTCTTACCTTAGCATGTTGATTGTATTTAGTCTTTCTTGGGCTCGATTGTACATTATTTTGAGNTATAATGGCATGTAATATTTCCAGTCATCATTTATGTGTGTTGAATTCATCGAGCTTAGTACTCTTAAACTAAACGAGTATTGTTTGGCTTGAGATCGAAATTTTAACGAGCCCAATTCGAAATTATTTAAAGCTCATTTATTTAATGAGTTCGACTCGATAAAGTTCGCTAAGACTTGAAAATAGAATTTTTATACAATGTTTAATAATTCAGCTTGTTAAAGCTCGAGATCGGCTCATTAATAATGATAAACAAGCCGAGCTCGAGCTCGAACTCGGCTCGACTCGTTTACAGGTCTATCAAAGGTTTAAAGTACGATTTTTTTTTCTTGAAAATTGATATAATAAAAGTGGGAAAAAATGTTTATAAAAAATTGAAAAAAATTGAAAATTATGAATTGATATGAAATAAAAATATTGTAATTGAAGGCGATGTGATATAAAAATAACAAAATATTTAATAAGATAGTTAGAAATATAAAAAATTTCTAATAGTGAATGAACTGTGTTTTTTGTTAAAAAAATATATTAATTATAATTATTTTCTTAATTATTTTAGTAATACTTGTAGAAAACAATGTAAGATAAAATAATAATATTTTTTGTAATTTTTCTTGTTTCTTTTTAAATGATTTTTTTTTTAATTAAAATACTAAATTGTATCAACGTAACATTTGAGACTGAGACTCAATTAAAGGATTGACAAAAATCTTTCAATTGGATTGCTCGGCATGTAATATTTTGAACTAGTCGATTAAATAAAGAAAAATGTTCATTTTGAAAAGGTTGGACAAATGTTTTTTTTTTTTTTCCATAAAGAGGATTGAATAAGATGTAAGGATTGGCAAAAATCTTTCAATTAGATCGCTCAGTTTGTAATGTTTTGAACTAATTGTTGAATAAAAGTGTTCATTTTGAGAAGCTTGGACAAATTATTATTATTATTATTTAATTATTTATTTATTTATTTTTCATACAGAGGATTGATTAAGATGTTAAATTGATGATAGGCCCTTAAATTAAAACTGTCAAAATTTGTTTTCCTGTTATAGCGGTTCCAATTTTTTCTTTTCATACAGCAAGACTATTTACATCTAATAATAGTTGATAGATTAAGAGCTATTACGGACATTCATATTTAACAGTATTTCATTCTCATCAGAATGGTCTCGCATAGTCAAATTTAATAAGTAGCATATTTATGTTGGATATTTATCATTATGACCCGCTCTCAAAAAAATATAATCGTAGTCAAAATCTCGAATAACACACATCTTTATGACTTGCTGCTTTCATTTATTTCTGTTCAATGAAAGGTCACTGCTAAAACCTACTCAAAGGACTTTCAATTCAATGGCAAACAAAATTCTCCCTTACGCTAGTGGCTAGAAACGTTTTTGATGTTTTGTAATACCTCCTATTCTTTTTAAATGTCATTTTAGTTTTAATTATGAACAAAATAAATGTCGTTTTGGATATTTTGTATTTATTTTTTCATTATTACCCTCATTTAGCTAATAAATACACTACGTCTTTTCATATTCACTCTTCATTTTTTTCCAAAACATCATTCTCTATCTTCATTAAAGAGAGTTACTATTGACAAAAAAATATTCTTAACTACAACATAAATGACTTTAGGTAGCGCCATTTATGGTAATACTTTACAAATTATTAGTTTATGTATCATATTATTGTAACACTTTTAAACTAAGTGTTAGCAAAAACTAGCAAAAGTATCATATAAGTGCTACCAAAAACTACTAAAAATATTAGCTTTGACTTTAGGTAGCACAAACAACTGTAGCGCCAATATTGTGTTACCTATTGTCTATAGGTAACATTTTATAGCTTTTACGTATCATTTCTTTAGTGATACGTAAAGCCATTTATGTTGTAGTATAATTATTGTACAACTTCTTAAAACGACATTTATTATGAATAGGAGGGAGTATATATATTTTTTTCATTATTACTCTCATTTAACTAATAAATACATTACGTTCTTTTATAATTATTTTTTATTTTTTCTCAAAACATCTATTTCTATCTTCATTAATGATGGTTATTATTGGCAAAAAAAAAATTAATTACTTTGCAACTTCTCAAAACTGACACTTATTATGAATAGAAGTGAGTATCATTTAGTGAGTTGATGTGCAACATATTTATGACATATTCTTGATATATAGTCCCCGAAAATCCATAATTCATCGTATTTCAAGGGTTGATTGCACTGCCCCTAGTGGCAGAATTGAATTTTCCCATATTTTAAATAAGTCAATCTATCTATCAAAGATTAATTAATTAAAATTTTTTCTAAATGATATTTATATTATAATTGATCAAATTTGTTTTGAATGATTTTACAACATGCATATTATCATAAAATAAGAAAAATTAAAATCTATAATCATTTTAAAAATGAGTTATTCGTGTGCTTGACTCTAATCCCTTATGTTATTCTATTGGATTTTACTAGGTCGACTCACTTTGTTACCGGCTTGGAGCCACTCATTGTCGAGGTTTACTTTTCTATGAACAATTGATAAAATCATAAAAACGAGTGGATAGAGTATGGGCATTCATAAATAGATGTTTGCATTTTTTTTAATGGAAAAGCATCTGATAAGTCAATAATAAGTGTCGATTTAGTGAATTAATTTAGGATTTATATTAGATATTTGAGTTTAATTGACATATGTTTGACATTATCTTGTATTTTCGAGTGGAAACTACCGGTGTTCGAATTTCTGTGCAGATCTAAGGCTCTTTAGCATGTCAAATGGAAGATTCAACTTTGGAGCAATTGAGAGTTCGATGTGCCTTTTCTCTCTCTCTATAACCCTTCTCCCCCAAATCTCTCTCTCGCCGCTGTCAATTCCTTGCCTTCCCCGGCGAACAGCCGGCCTTCGGCCGGTGGATGACCCGTAGCAGCACTCCCATGGCCTGATTTGTGCGTTTCCTTCACGGTTCTCGCCCTTCGGAGATGATTTCAGTTTCGTCGGTCGGGGCTGTTCTACTGGAGATCGCCGCCGTCGCAGGTAGGTTCTCGAAATCTCTTTGTCGATTCCGTCTATGTTCGGCTTCAGACGACGGGTTCCACGGCTCCACTTTCGATTTGGGTACGTTTCTCGGCCCCGACGGTGATTTTCCAGCTTTCTACTGTCGGCTCTGTCTTGGGATGGTGGTCGATGGCGGGTTCGACGGCTTCTCCTCCGGTTTGGGTCCGATTGCTGCAGGAGGTGCGTGGTTCGGGTTTTGGGTGCGGCCCTGGCGGCTCGGCTCGTCTGAGTTGCGGCGGCCGGGGGCTGAGGGGTTTCGATTCTTGCCCTCTGTTCCCCTTTCCGCTGGTGTTGCGGTTTTGGGATGCCGGTACACCCGAACCTAGGCCAGTGGTGTTGGTCGGGTCTTGGGTTGCTGGCAAGTGGACGGGTTGATATTCCTCTGGCTTTGGGTCGGCTTCATTCTTGGCTTGGTTTGAGGTTCGACACTTGTTCCTTGCTAGGCATTAGGCAGTGGCGGGAGCGGCGTTCCGGATTTTGGGTCAAGTTGTAGGATGTTAGTCTTTTTCGCTGGTGCTTTGGGTCGGTTTTAGCTTTTCTCTGGGGAAGGGCCTTATTAGTTAGTAGTATAGGTTTTTTTATTTTGATTTGTGTCTGTTTCTGTTCTTGTGTTTGTATTTGTGTTTTGGTTTGGGCCGTTGGCCTCGGTGTATTTGTGTTTGTGTTTTAGGTTTGGGCGGTTGCCTCGGTGCATTCGGGTGTCAAATTTATTACCCTGTGGGGGTCCGACACTCGGAGATTACCCTGTGGGGGTCGTGTGTTGTTGTTGTGTTGTTTGAGTTGTATTGTTGTATTACCCCTTGGGGGTCGTGTCTAGTTGTTTTAGTTTTGAGTTTCTGTTCTAGCTTTTGCTAGCCGGGTTTCTAGGCGGTCTCATGACCTGTCTTCCCACTTTTCAGCCTTGGGCTGCTTGTATTTGCACATTTGTGCGCTTTTGTTATATAATATCCTCTATCGTTTTGGCAAAAAAAAGAGAGTTCGATGTGCCTGGGAAGAGAAAACATCTATAACTAACATGACAGTGTCGGAATTACAGTTCAAATGTAACATGGCCATGTTGGTATATTCTGGATCCTGTCTATTAACTAAAGCCCATGAACAGTATATAACGTGACAGCCGCAAGGAACAGAGAGGACGGATCTACTAGGGATCTGCTTGGAGCAGACACGCAAGAACAGAGCACAACATCAGCGGCTCTCTCTTCTTCTTTTCTTCATTATTTTTCTTTTCTTTTGGATTATTTTATGATAGCCCTGCGCGGCTAATTTATCTTTGTCTTGGTTGAAGACGATCGAAACCCAGACCTACTACTGTGAGATCGAATTAGTTTTTATTCCAGTTCATATATTTTCTGCATCAATGTTTCGTGTGCATATTTTTATGATTGTTATGTGTAGTTGATGGATTGGCCACCTATTATTCTATGCTTATGATCTATTGCTTGATTGATACTTGAGTCGGATTTAGATCATGTGTCTTTCACTAGAAGCAACTAAAATAGATGATTGACCGGATTTAGGCGTTGTCGTTCTTAGGCGAAATAATTGAACAAGTTAATATTTAACGGATTAGTTATTTATTGCTTGGACTGTCGGTCTCTTGTATTTAATGCTATTGCGAGAATAATTCTTCACGATGTTGGGAATTAACTAGTTATAAGAGTCTCGTAGAAGGATTTATTTTGCGTGACTAAACCAGGAGATGAAATTTATATTCAACGGCAGTTGCGTGGATTGTGAGTTTATATTTTTGCATCAATGATTAGTGGAACAGTCTAGGGTGAAAATCAATTCAACCAAGGCATATTCATATTATATTTATTTTTGTTTATTTAGTTTTGTTTTATTTATTTGTTAGTTTGATATGTAATTTCTAGTTTAATTAGATCATTAATTCAAAACCCACTTCTTTGATCACATAGTTAATAGATTTAGTTTACTTCTCCCCGTGGATACGATCCTTGCTCACGCTACTACATATTTTTAAGTAAGGTTAACTTGGATGCCTATGACAGCACGACCAGCATCAGAATGGGAAAAGGAGCTTAATGAAAGAATAAGTTAGATTTGAAACCCTTTAAGACATCCAATAAGAACAAGTTAATTCTACCGAACGAACATATTTTCATAGCTTTTTTTCTCTTATCGAAAGGACAATTATATTAAAAACTAGAAAAATAAAAGAGTACAAATAGTGGGTGTCAACAGATACCAAAAAACTAAAAAACCTAGACCTACCCCCTTAGAACAACACATGTGTCCAAGGGGTTACAATCTCCATCATGGAGACCAACAACAACGCCAAAACACAACTTGATAAAAGGAGACTAGAATTCCAAGAAAGAGACTGGACGCTAGACGCCGTTGAATTAACAAAACAAAACAAAACAAAAATAAAAGAAGTAAGAAAACAACACACATCTAATCACAAATAGAGTAAAACTTTCCTTATACCTATTAGAGCATTTCTATTGGTTGGCATGTATGCTAGACCTAGTCTTTTTATTTTTGCATTGCAAAGTTTTTGAGTTTTTTTACTTGAGTTTGTCCATGTCATTTAAAACTCAAATCTAATTATATGTCACATATACAAAAAGAGACTCAAAGCATTGTGGATGCTCTAAAAGGTAGCGATGGGCTTATCCATTGTTTTGTCCTTTTGGTTGTGACCGTCATCCCACGCGCCCACTGAAGGGTGTAAAAGGCGTCACTTTAGACTTTTGCAGGTTAGCTCACTATGGTAGGGTTGCCCAAGGAAATTCCATTATTTAACCTTTTGGGTTGCTAAAATCTAGTGGTATACAATATTAAACTGTTTATAGATTATTAATAATCCAACAGGATTTATTTTATACTACTATTTAAAAGTGAATAGTTTTCCCGACCCGAGATGTGGCCCCATCTGCAGACTAGTAACCGTTG